TTTACTTTGTTATGATATACTTTTTGAGATGCAGAGTGAATATTTAAAGACTTAAATGCAGGAAAATCGGGAATTGGGCGAACGGTTAGTTTGAAAAAATGTCCAGTTGACATTTTAATCCACAGTTTTCACAAACACATCAATGAGTAAATGAAGGCCTACAAAAGCTTATAGATAGATAGAAGATTGATAGTATTTTGAGTCTGGCTTAATTTTAGATGCAGGAACAGTGGTATTGAAAAATTTTCACGTTCTAATTGGAAAATTTTGAAACAGAGGGCAATGAAAAAAGCCTGACATCATCCTTGTTGAAACTACTTCTACAATCAACTACAAGACACGTTTTCGGCATTTTTAATTAGAAGAAACACTAATGAAGTCAATAAAATAAAAAAAATAAACAGATTTCATTCACAAAACAACCACAAAATGCACTTCAAAAAGCTTTAAATTCCATACTCTCATATACGGGATAATGAACTTCCGCCCACAACACACTTTTTGACAGGTCGTTGGAATGCCTAATATAATGTCTGTAAATTTTGACTATAGGGGCTAGGTTCGGTAATAGCATCTGCGAGCAAAATTTGACAGATGTCACGTGATTTGACACGTGAAAAAAGATAAGTGATCATGTCACATCCGTCAAAATTTGCTATTTCTGCTCGCAGATGCAATTACCGAACCCAGCCAGTATCAGTTCTCTAAACTTTGATAATGGGGGAGTTCCACCGTATTTGAATTACATCACTTTATTTTTTTCAATCCATTGTATGATCCAAAATAAATAAACCCCTGCTTTCAGTTGGCTTTAAACTTACTTATTTTATTAATAAATGATACATATTTAGAAAATACTGTTTTTCTGCGATTGACAAGAAATGTCAGCATTTTCAACCGGTTGACAGGTCGCAAAACTCAGTATTCTGGTATTTCAATTATGTTTCAACAGTTGCTAAGGAATCAATGAATAACAATACGGAAAACACTTTTCCGGCCTAGGCCGAGAAAGTGATTCTCGTATTGCTGAATAATTGGAACTAAAAGACAAACATTTAACAGGTACTTAACCGATCGCAGAAAAAATAATATGTGTATTTCAGTGGAAAAGCACATTCTCGGCCTTCGGTGTTTGCCGGCCTCGGCTACGCTTTGCCCGTCAACTTACACTGTCGGTCGAGAATGTGTCACTTTTCCACCTAAATACACAATATACTATTTCATACTACATATTCAAACGTACTGGAATGGCGCTAGCGTATGACGTAGACTTCTTTACCGACCAATAAGAATCGTTCACAACGGCTCTGACGCACATCTTTGATGATTTCCTGATTTCTTAAAACTAAATAATTGATGCCAGACGAATCAAGATATGAGAAGATTAGAAATTAGGAATGAATATCTTGAATAGTGTCATAATTTTGGAGATTATATTATAGATGGAGAGTGTGCAAAATTAAGATAATTTTGTCAGAAAATGATCAATTTTACCTAAAAAAGATGCTACCAAGGTCGCAGTTTTTGAGCAGTTCTAGCGACAAATACAACAAGTCCCTGGCCGTTCTCATGTGCACACACATTTAACTGAAGGGCATAAAGCCCTGGATAATTCATTTCTGCCATAAACACAAGTTTGTTTCTATTCCAGACGATTTATGACCGTCCCTACTTTTACAACTTATGGTTAATAAGTCTGGTCAGCGGATCTGAAGCTACGGAAAGCATTCGGACGAAAATGTACGATGTTGTTACGTTTAATTATAAAAAAGCAAAAATACTATGATAGACATGAAGTGTAGTTCATTTGAAAATCCATTTTTTAAGAGGCCTGGGGTGGGATTCTGTAACGAATTGAGACATTTTCTCTATCTTTATTGACGTTTCCTCTCAATTGATTTCAACAAGAGAGAAGAAGACAGCAAGTGCCATAGCGATAGGAATAACGATCTCTATCCGTTACAGAGTTCCAGCCCTGGGTACCTCCCGCATAATTGAAATTCGATCACAGCGTCATTTATAGTTCACGAGTTACACTTTCACACAATTCGGCAACACTGCTAGCTGCCGGTCACTGCGCGAGCCTCGCCTGGCTTCGCTTCAAATTATTCATGCTAAAGTTCATTGGCGCATTGTATAATAATAGAATAACGAAAAGCGTAGAAGGATAAAAAATTTCCTTCATTTTTTAACAAATAGAAATTGACTGAAACAAATCAACGACGTCAAAAACTTTCGTTGGTTCTTAAACCAGAAGTCATTCATTTTAATTTGTAAAAAAAATTGAATGTGTCATATGACCAAGGTTCCTAAAGTTAATAGGTTGTTTGGTAATGGGTAACTTGATGACGCATCTGGGGTGCCTTAAGGAGATTTGCATTATGTTGAGACACCCCAGATGATGTCATACAGTTATCAGGCAACCTACCGCTCTCAAACAACCTTGATCTACGACAACCCTTCTTTTTCAAGTTATGACGTCTTCGATGTCAAAAGTATAAACCCTCGCGAAACGAACCGTAGGTATAGTTTAACCATTATTAATTGAAACTCCATAAAAAAGGCGGCTCAGTTGATCTCTTTGAAGTCACGTGGGAATCCATAGGCGTCTAAATATTATTATCATGACAAATGAAAACAAATTGGTTAATAAAGAATAAACATACTCCAGATATTTCTATAAAAACTGAAATGACGAACGCCATTTCCCCGAAATTCTAGCTGATTTACCTCTAGAATACAGTGGAGTTAATACATTAAATAAATGGGCAAAATTCATATAGTAGGTAAGCCTTAAAATTCCGTTTTAAACTATTGAAATAAATCAAATATAAATTTTTGAATGGGAATATTATTCCTTTATTAAAAATTCAAAGAACCCTCTTATGGGTTTTTGGTTTTCTGTCAAACTCAATGAAATTTTGCTATGTGTTAGACCTTGACTTCCTGATAAAAAGTTCTCATGGGCCCCAACCAATCCTATGATTAGTTTTTGAGATACAGGTACCTTAATGGCCAAGAAATGTATACACATTTTGTATGTATTCACATCTACCTGTCACCTAATAATAGGTCTGTTTCTGCAAAAATCACAAACCCGTCAGAGCGAATTTGATTGGTCGAAAACAGTCAGAAAACTAGTTTTAACCAATGAAATTCACTCTGACAGACCTATTAATGGGTGACAGGTAGATGTGAATGCATATAAAATGTGTACATTTCTTGGACATTAAACCACCTGTATTTCGGAAACTATTCATAGTATCGGGTTGGGCCCATGGGAACTTTTTATCAGTAAGTCAAGATATACCACATATCAAAATTTCATTGAGTTTGACAGAAAACCAAAAACCCATAAGAGGTGTGCGGGGTCCTTTGAAATTGATTTTTATTCAATTATCTGTGTAATTTTATACTTTTGTCCACTTCTAAAGAGAATATCTCACACTGTCAACAAGCGCGGCTCAGTTTTGTCGGCAAGCGATAAAGCCCAGCGGCATCGCCGACAATTTTCAAGTTTTTTTGCTGGCGTGCGGCGGTGTCTTTGTTATAGTGTACCAGGACTAGGCATAAAAGTATAAAAATTATTTCATATATATATAAGGGGTATTTTTCTAATTTTGAGTAGTCACCATAGAGATGCGATTTTCAATTGATAATGGTAATACTTTAAGTAGGTACCTTTTCGTCCTATACCTATTTCCATATGCATTCTTAATTTTTTTATAATATATGTACATACTAATCATCTTTGACTAAAGCGCAAGGCCCAAGGAGGTCTCAAAAATTAGCACAACGAAAATGGCACACATCAGAAAAACTAGAGTACTAAATTCGGGCCTATTTAGTGCTAGTTTAGTACGAACAAAAATAATTTATAACTCTTTTTTTTAAAAAATTACGTGCATGTGTGCAAGCTTAAGATTAAGCTGGCACACTGTACTTGGATAAGGTCGAATCTTTGAAAATCTAGTACCTCATATTTAGTGCTAATTTAGTACATTCATGTCACGCCTAAAAAACTAACAATGATGTATTTATTACAAAATAACCACGGAAAAGTGCTAACTTAAGACTTGAATCAGCACACATAGATCGAATCGACCGCGCGAGAACGGAATTCGCATGCATATATTTAGTGCTAATTTAGTACTTCAAAAACGACAACCCGAAACAAACTAGTATCACATCAGCACAGAGCTAACTCAAACTAACCCAAAATAACGTCCGAAATGAGCACTAAATGTGTGCTAATTTAGTACTCTAGTTTCATTGCGTCATCGATGATAATGTTTGTTAACTTAAACACTAAGCCAGCACACAAGTGTTCGCTCTGTGCTAATGTGATACTAATTCGTTTCGGGTCGTCGTTTCTGAAGTACTAAATTAGCACTAAATATGTGCATGCGAATTCCGTTCTCCCGCGTTCGATTCGATGTATGTGTGCTAATTCAAGCCTTAGCACTTTTCCGTGGTTATTTCGTAATAAATACATCATTGTTAGTTTTTTAGGCGTGCCATGAATGTACCAAATTAGCACTAAATATGAGATATACTAGATTTTTAAAGATTCGACCTTATCCAACTAGAGTGTGCCCGCTTAATATTAAGCTGGCACACATGCACGTAATTTTTTCAAAAATAGAGTTATAAATTATTTTTTTTCGTACTAAATTAGCACTAAATAGGCCCGAATTTAGTACTCTAGTTTTTCTGATGTGTGCTATTTTCGTTGTGCTAATTTAAGGAACCAGGCCCAAGGCCCAGTTTATTTATCTTCAGACAAACTTGCTACAAGATAAATTTACCGATCTATAATTCTATTGGTCCGCCGGCCAGTAGGACTACACTACAGATAGAGTTTTTATCCGTCAGATTGCATTACCTGACAGTTTATCAGGAGGTGAATAAACCGGCCCTAAGAAAAACGATAAATAGGTAAAACTTGTTTTTTTTTTTTAATAAAAAAATCTGATATTTCTCTGACGTAGTTAATTTACCTCATGGATTTCGCAGAGTTTAGCTCCATTGAGTTTTCTTTTGAATTTGATGGACCAGCATCAGTAATATTATTGTCATTGTCATTGTTGATGCTGAAAATATGAAAATTATTTACCTACTTTTCTATGTTTTCAAAATACCATTTTACCATTGAGATAAAGGAATTTTAACGTCCAATTTATTTTGGTCCTCAGAAGAAACTGATAACTTTAAATTAATTTTCCTAAAAAAAAATACCAAGTTAAATAAAAATCCTGGGAATTATTATAATTAGACAACACATCATAATAGTCATAATACATTTATTTGTCACTCATTTGTAAAACGTCACTTATCAAGTCAAAACATAACCAGCGAAAATTGATTTTTACAAGCTACTGGCTCTACTGACTTGTAAAATTGACAGCTAAACTGTAAAAACTTTTTACAAGTCAGTAGAATTATTTATTTTTGAAAAATCGGTTTTATCACAAGAATAATTGCTTGTAGGTACCTTCTGGGAGACTTTTCTGGTGATAAACTGTTGGCTACGACTGAGGCTTCATTAATAATATCTTGTAATAAATTCATTTCTGGAAAAAAATTGCAAAATGGAAATCTGTCAAAAAACCTATTTATAACTAGAAACAACGTCTTAACAACGTATCATTCTCATAGTTATACCAACTACCAAAACTTCTGTGAGAAAAAATCAAGGAAAAACATATAAATTTCAAATTTTTGTTATGTATTGATTTTTTATTTGTCCCTATATCTTTTACAAATGAGTAACAAATAAATTATTGTACATTATACGCCAGGTAGCAGTTTTTACTGGCTCTTGAAGGTGACAAGCTCGCCTGGCGGCTCGCTAGTCATTTCCTTCAATCGCCAGTAAAAACTGTTTTACCTGGCTAATAATGTAAAATACTATTACGTAGCCCGTGCATTAGAACTTTTCCAGATTGCAGGTGGATTTGTAGAGATAGCATCTAATCCACCCGCAATCTTATGCATGGGCTACGTAAATCACCCTGTATGTAATAATTATCTTCTACCATTTCACCTACCTTCTTTTCATAGCAAGTCGTCGATTTTTACGTTTAGTAGATAAACGTAATCTTTTCCTATCAAACCTTTCTGAGGAGTTACCCATTTCTTATTTCCAAAACACAAAAGGCAATGCGAAAACTTTTCGACGCCACGAGCCAGCCAAAACAGAAACAGACTGATAAAATAATACCATACATTTATTTTATTCCTGGATGATGTTGAGGGCGAGGCGCAACGACGCCGACGCGACGGGCGGTTGGCGGGACAGTTCCCAGTGTTGCCATGCCATAGAATATGTAGTTGCGATTACATGCATTTGTCCGAAATAATACATTTTCTCTATATTTCTTTTTTACAAGAATCGACGCGTTCAACAAAAAAATTATATTGGTAAAAAAATTAAGTATTTTAACACAGAATTACGGAAAGTATTTTATATTCCAATCTTTTTTTTTAGAGGCGACATAATTTCCACTATTCTTTAATTCATCATCTACCATCCAACAAAATTTCTTTGATTTAGATCCAATACTTTAGACGTAGATTCGGCAAACATGCGGCCTGGATGAACTTGATTGGTGGAGTTTTTGGCACGATAACCGAACGGCTGAAGTGCGAATGGAGTCACTCGGAGTGAGCAAGCCGAATCCACCTGATATTGAACTTTTAAAAAATTCCGAACGCAGCTGGGTATTTTATAAATTAAATCAGCCATCATTTTTTCTACCACTGCATTCCGCTTACTTACAAGCTACAAAACGTGAAAAATTTTTGATTCCTACATCTGAAGAAATTGGTTCTAAGCTGTGTGACAAGGAATATTTCACAGTCCTAGACATGAAAGACGGGTACTTTCAGATTTGTATTGACGATGAAAGTCAAAATTATTTGTTTGATAGATATGCATTTTGTCGTTTACCATTTGGTATATCTTCTGCGTCAGAGGTCTTTCAAAAAATGAACTATGAAATATATGTAGGTTTGTACTTTGATGACCTTATTATCACAGCCCCCGTGGCTTCAGTATTTTTCAAGATATTCAAGAAAATCTACCTAGGTTAGGAATATTTCCTATGAATAATTTGTTTTTGCAATGATGATACCTGTAAAATATTGAAATTTGGTTGAAATTTACGGGGGCCTAATTTCAATGTTAATTGTGCCTCCTTTCAGAGTGATCATTGGTAAAAAAATGTTTTCTTTTTCTATTACTGGCTCTTGAATTCTCTCTATTTAGAAAAATTAAGAAGAAAACATGATACTTCTGTTGTCTAATTTATTAGAATGTATAATTATAGTATCAGACTATGATATATGGTTCGACTTACGCGTTTGCGCGTCTTTTTATCCACGACAGTTTTATGCTCTTGGCACGTTTAGTTTTTTTACGAGTTTTACCCAGACTTCTTGCCATAATGTGAGAGTCTCTTTCAACACTTTAACACTAACCAGTTTTAAGATCACTAAATTCGAAAGAAAACACACAATCGGCACACGGATAAACACACATCAAAATATTTCAGAAACTGGAAAAAAAACACAACGCAGCAAGTTTGTCAGTAAACACTTCTGACAAATAATACATATTATTCTAGTATAGTGCCCATTGTCCTCTAACTTAGGATAGACCCAACAAGTAATTCATAAAATTACTCCGCAAACAATCAGGAACAATATTTTAGGAAAAATTATTTATTTTGTATTGGCAACACCGCTTTCGAGCGACCTTGCTTGGCCGCCACTTGGCGCGTTCGGTTGCCAGTGGCGGACCGGTGGTCGATGTCTAGGAATTAAATGAAATATAATTGGCAAATTTATTAATTTTTAAACTTTTCATTTTTTTCGCAATTTCATTGACAGACAGTGAAGTACGAGGTTATTGGTTAAAAATGTCGCTCCCCTGTACCTTTTTTATTTGGGATTTTCAAAAGAAGTGTCCCAAATAAAAGATAGTTGAAATTAATTTTTTTCAAAAAAACTTGCTTTTGCATATATTCGGAGCAGCGTCTGCTTTTAAGAATTTCTTGCCATCCCGTCTGATACTGTAGTCTGCTGCATCAAAATGATCAGAGCATACCTTTGCAGTTTTAGCCACTTTCCTAATGTTCAGATTAGACAGCCAGATATTGCGCTTTACAGGATCTTGAGGAAACCTGCAAAATTTGTGAGAAAATGTATGTGCAAATCGTTATTTCGAGTTTTAATTATAATTAAGTACATAGAAGAAGCACATGGGCCTATTGACTAGGCAAAAAATCTGAGTGCAGGTGAAAAAATTTCAGGAAAGTTAAAAATTGTCTCTTCATTTGCTTCTTAGTTTGCCCTCACTTGTGCTTAATCTCTATTATTTGAAGGAATCTTTCATATGCCTTTTAATTTTTAATAGCATTACCTTGGGAATTACGTGTGTTCTAACACAGATGATAGTCAAATTTTGACAAGGCATAACTGAACCTTAGAGAGTATTTTGAGGAAGGAAAGCAAAGTATTAGGCCATTGATAATGTCAAAAAAGACAGGGGTAAAAGGAACTAAGACGTAGAGCAATTTCATTGTTTATAATGTTCAATTGGTCCCTAAAGATGATAAAACCGCGGAGTGCTACCATATATTATAAGGGGGCATTTTTAAGAGCGGGGTGAGTTTGTCAACTCAAAAACTATGCATTTTGCCTGCATAAAATGCCTCGTGAAATGCATTAAGGTTCTTCGAAGAAAATAAAATTTCCCATCGAAGTGACATATTTTCAAGTCCAAAAAAAACCACTTGAAGATTTCTTTGCGTATATGTAAAAGTGTGCGCAAAGTAGCTTCTTTGCGATTACTCGTAGAAAAAACAAAATGTTGGATCTGCTGTCATTTCGATAGGAAATTTTATTCTCTACAAAAGACCTCAATGCATTTATGCATCAAAAGTGCAGACTGAGATAGAGACTTTGGATAGTACAAGGCCAAATGAGGGCTAAACGATAAACTTTGAAATACTTTATTTACATGCACGTAAATAAAAGATGAAAAAAGAAGAAAAGTTGAAGATCATGTATTATACGTTGATGCTGATTTTGATTCGAAGGACCGTAAACTCGCTTTAAGAGGCCAACAACAAGCCGTTAAAAATTGAGAAAAAGGGTTGATTTCCTGAGACGAGAACTCACTTATTTTGTAATATTTTTTGACCGGATTAGAAAATAATAAAAGATAAAAATCTAAAGAATAATGCTGTTGTTTTAGTTTTTCGAAAAAAAAATTGCAAAGTGAAAATATCACGACCTAAATACTCGAAAAAAAGCATCATTTCTATCGCTCGGTACATCCAAACCCATCGCTTTTTTTAAAAAAATGAAACAAGAGCATTGTTCTAAATTTTATTATCTTTTCAAATCTTCTTGATTCACTAAAAAATATTAAGTAGTTTTTGAGATCTCGTCTCAAATTGTAAGCCCTGCAAACACGGAAATTCAAAAATTTTGGCTGCAGCGAGGTGCTGCCTCTGGCGGATTTAATTTCGCACCGGGGTAAGTAAAAATTACACAACGCGAGAGGACTGCAAGGCCAGTTATTAGTTTGTGTAAATAATTATGGTGAATATATTTCATAATGAACTCAAAACGAACAAAGATAACTTTACTAGAATTCAAGAAACGAAAGAGGATATTATATAGCATAGTTAAATACAGTTAGTACGTGAAGGTTAGGAATAAAATCCATCAAAAATACAAGGTTGATTTTTTTTTCAAAAAATCTCGGATACCTACGTCGATTTTTGATTTTAATGGCCGTTTTTTTGATGAGAATTTCATACATTTGTCAAAACTGACATACCTACCAACAATAAACTAACATGTTTTGATTGTTGATTTGAACCAATCAGATTGGAATTACGTGATAATTTATATTAGTGTAAATTATTGCATAGTAACTAATGCGAGAACTGGTGTTTTGACAAAAAATTTGAATTTTTGATTTATGAAATTTTCTCATAAAATACAGTGTATCCACGCAGCACATGGGAAACTTTTTTATTATCAATTTTACGAAAAAAAGTTATCCTTTATAAGAGTTTCTGCTTCTTGAAAAAATAATATCAAACTATGTATTAAAAGTTGAAATAGCATGTACAGGGTGGTCAAAAAATAGAAAAATATACAGGGTATTTCCTAAGTACGATCCGTAACTTCAGGATGTCATTTGTTACGATATTTTAACAAAAAAAGTTCCCATAAATATGTGACCAGAAATGCGTAGTTTCTGAGATACAGGGTGTCAAAGTTTTAGAAAAAGTCGTTTTTTCAGCTCAAAAATTTCTCCAATTTTTTTTTTTTTTTAATTTGGCAGGTTGATTTGTGATAACGAAAGGTTTCTTTTGACTGAAATATGACTTGCTTAATCTGAAAAAAATATCAAAGGTTAAAAAAAATAGTGATGTGCCATTTTTTTTCTACTTTTACCAAAAAACCCTGCATATTTCCTATTTTTTAATCCCCCTGTACCGGGTGTTTTTTTATCTTCGATATCATTTTGATCACCTGTAACTTTTTTGTTTTTGAAGTTATCAAGGTAAACAAAAAAACAAAATGTAGGGTTAGTAGCCAAGTTTTTTTTCAAATTGCACGTAAAACAAAACACTATCAACTTTTTGACATATAAGCCTACATTATATTTTTTCAAATGGAACACCCTGTATATTATATATGTGTTCGATAGAATATCTTATTCTGATTACAATGATATAGCACACTTCATATTTTGGTCCACTCGTTTTTGACAAATCGGCAAAAATATGAATCTTTCGAAGTGAAACTTATTAGGCGGCCGGCCGGCGCCGGCCGGCGGTCTGATATTTGGGACGAAAATTATTGAGAGCATATAAAAATTTCATATATTTTTGCCGATTTGTCAAAAACGAGTGGAACAAAATATGAAGTGTGTTATATCATTGTCATCAGAATAATATGCTCTAACGAACACACATATAATATACCGGGTGTTCCATTTAAAAATAGTACATTAAAATACAAGCTTCATAAGACGTGATTTTATCGCACGAGCCCTATATTAGAAAACGAGCCGGAGGCGAGATTTTTAAAGGACGAGTGCGATAAAATGTCTTATGAAACGAATATTTTATACTATATTTTCTATTCTGGTATTGTTTAATTAAAAAAAAA